AAGATACGCCATTGGCTTATGATCGAAACCTCCTGGAAGACTTCGTGCGCTTGCCGAAGCGTTTGCTTTTGGGTATGGCTGATACTGACACTGATGACAAAGACCTTCGCAAGACTCCCGAAGCCAATGCTCAAGGTCCTCATCGACTAGCTCGCGGAGAGATGTATGTCAAGAAGCACCAAGCACTGCAGGAGAGTCTGGATTTGTCAGGGGAGTCTGGCCACTCGATTGTGTTGTGACTGTTTGTTTGTGTTGTTTGTTCCTTTTTATAATATGGCTCCCGGCTCACTAGTGTTGTTTTCTTGCTTCAAGATATCAATGGGCAAGATGTGTATACAGTGTTTAGTGTGTTGTGTTTTCTCCAATAGTCCATTGGGTGAAGGTATGGAGGTGGTATTCGTTGAGGGTGCTGGACACTCGAATGCTCAAATGTCTTCTGTGGCTTTTGACCACAGTGGTTTGCTTGATGAGACAGAGATCACCAGACCTGAATGACACTCGCAGATCAACGATGATCAATGTACATATATATTTGGTTGCAGATGTGAAGATGCCATAAGATGGCTCGTGTTGCAGTTTGGAAGACCTTGTCTCCTCGGACTTTGCTGGAAGCTTTTGGAAACTGCTGATGCTGACGTTGTGGCCGCCCTCAAGGCAAAAGTCCAATTGATGGTGATGATTTGATAGGATAGTTCACACCCGATCACGTTCTACGCATCCAAGTTACAACATGGCTGAGTGAATCGCCATGGCGAGCAGACTAGCTATGTTTTGTACGAGCCAGCAGTGTTGAGCTAAAAAGCTGAACAGCTTGAGCCTTCAGTTGTCATAGCAGAGGCTGTGCGTTCAACTTTTGTCCAGCCACTTATTTGCTGAGGAATTCTTTCCGGCAGCGATGCCTGTTGCGACTTGGCTTCAAAAAGCAGGCCGCGACAGGCGTCGTATGGCGTGGTATTGAGGCGTGTGTGATCGTGAATGGCAACATTGAACTGTTTGGCAGTGGAGTTTGAAGCTGTTGGGCAACAGACTCACTTTAGGGGCCAGAAAGCACCTGTTGCGCGTAACTGTGTCAACTGATTATTGACTATATAAAGAAATAACAAAACCACAGCCAGTTTAACAAATTCCCACAAGCACTGCTGCATGAGAGACCGAGTTGAAGACATATATTTTTTGTAGACTCCTCTTACCGATATCACAAACAACGCAGCACTATTGTTGTTTGAGACAGCCTTAGCACAATTTCAATCGCTATTTAGAACATACCTACTATATATTACATATTGCACATTTGCCAGACAAATACTACGCTTCTTAAAGTGAAAGTCATTACAACCCTTGAGCCTAGAAGGCATGGGTGGTCAAAATACACCGGGAAGCCTTTCAGTATCATTGATCATCATTAAAACAAAAACAAACAAAACAAAACAACACACATGGTGACCGGTGTGATAACTGACTGTCCCACACCTGCCAAACAAATTTGGACTTGTCGATTTGACCCGCAGCTGACTCAACGGTGTCTTATGTCCACTGATATCACTGATAAACAATCATAAAACTAGTTGTTTGTCCGAAGTATTGTTATATGGTCATTTGCAGTTTTCTTTGCTGACAAGAAAAGGGTTTCTGTATGCTGCCTGCAAAACCAGAAACCTTTGCTTCTATTCTGGCAAGTCTGGTACCCGCACTTTTCAGTTCAGCGTGCTCTTGTCATCTCACAAATTCATACACTGGTCACAGAGGCCTCGGGTAGGCCACCAGGCTCACCCTCATTGCCATGCTCGCTCGGTTGCAGCAACAGCTGGCCAAGCACAAACTAAGCACAAACTGGTCATGACATTGAAAAGGCCAGCTCAAGGATGAATGTGTCACGTGTGATACCCAGTCATGTGCAAGTTACTGTATGTATAATATGTATATATACAAGTACATATGATGGGTGTCTAGCAGTGAGTACTGTACCATCGATTTAGCCAACTATGCAGAGCAGTAGCCTTCGAATGAGAAATGAGCAGAAGGATTTCCCAATCGCTCATGTGCTGTTGGAACGCATTTGTGCCGACTTTCTTTCTGGAAACGTGCTATGCCAAGGTAAAGTTAATAGCCCCGTTGCTGATGCTCAAGAATGCGATTCCTTTTGGTACCTTCATATTCTTGACTGCCGGCGCTTTGTTCATGAGTTATGTATCCTGGTAATGAACATTCTCAAAGTAGAATGCAACTTTGCTTGCTCAGCTGGCTGCAGTAGACTTGAGGAGCCAAAGTGTACCGCGTCACCGACGCTTTTGCACGTTGAATCCATGTGGAGAAACGTAGGTGCAAGGAAGAACTACAGATGTCGGCCTTGGCAGGATTCTCTTCCAGGCGCTGGCACGGAACGGTGACTTTCCACAGATATTGAGGTTTAACCTGGCGCAAGCTGCTGGGGCCTTGGTGGTTATAATTTCCCGCATTTGTGTGTGTGCATTGACTTGAATTGTAGTTATTCTTTGGCCGTTTATTGTTTGTGCATGTTTGTGCATACCTTTAGGGCTGATTTGACAATTAGCTGTCTTGAACTACCCAGTGATCGAGCTTGCTGAGGTCGTTCTTGATGTTCTCTTCATCATTCCGGACTTCTTTATGTCGTGCCTGGCCAACATGTAGCTAACTACAACGATTCCGAGTATTTGCAAGCAATCTTCAGGCTCGTAGACAGATTAAATTATGTGATCAGACATTATGCCTTTTTGTGCAACTCCACTGCTCACAGTGCATTCGGCATTCGGAAGATAAGGCCTTACACATCATGGATGATTGCGATTTGAGTTTTAGAAAGTTTTTCTTGCAGGCGTCTAAACAGTTGTGTTGGTTGTGTTGACTTTCAACGCAACCCGAGGATCATTTCCATGGAGTTGTCGCTAGACTTCAGCCTTTTGTTTCTTTGGTTTTGCTGATTGGAAGGATCACAGGCTAGCCAGCCACCGCTTGGTCACTGCTTGGAAATTGAATACGTTTTCAATACCCTGTTTGCTTGTGCTTTTGGTTTGTATTTGATTGGGCCACAGGTTTCTTGATTGAGACTTCATATAAGGCCAACCAGCTTGCTAGTGGCTTTGTTCGTCATACTTTTTGGCGCAGCTTGGCTCATATGCTTTAGAGCAAGATTTTCTGCTGTCCTTGTACATGGGTGTGATCATATGTTCCATGATGTGGGCAGCTGATTGGCTTGGGTGAGTATATTATACTACTGACTAGTAACTTAGGACTTGTCGGACATACGCGCCAATTCCAAAAGCCTATGTCATCAAGATTGATCCAACATTGGCATTTCCTCTTAAGGCCTATGTCATCAGGCCACAACCATGATATTCATAGAAATATGTATGAGGTATTCAAGGAAACAGCGCCCGCAAAAACACATAGTCGCACCCTATGTCACCACTGTGTCACCAGGGTGCCAGGCAGTGGTATCTAGCATTATTTAGCTGTGTTTTTACATTTTTTGTCGAGGAGGTGTCCACAGGTCCTATGACACCAGGTTTCCCAACCCAGACCTTTTTTTTAGCTCGATATGTCAGGGCACATGACTTAGCCCTGGGGGTAGCCAGATTGGTATGTCACTTGCATCACGTTGGCCTAAGTCATTAGACAGTAGTATAAACGTATTTCATCATGATATATCATGGTATATCATATATCATTATATAGTATGTGTTGCAAAGAACATTATTCATTTACAGGTATGGCAAGGCATGTTGCCTCACAATATTATCATCAATTTGCTTCTTGATTTTCTTGTAGGCCTGGTGTGTCTATTACATTCTATTACAGTTCTATTACAGCAGGGGGAACTGGAATGAAAGCCAAGGTCATGGTGTACTCAGTGACTTTGACCATGCTGGGAAAGGTTCCAGACGCTTGCACAGCTGAATTGGCATTGTCCTCCGTGGTCAGAGTCCTTTTTTTGCATTGCTTGGGACTTGCTCTATTATATTTTCATGTGAAAGATCCTAAACAGATACCCATACTATATGTATATTGGAGGTGGTCGATGTGGACGTCTTACAGGCTTGCACACAGGGACTCGGAATATAACCATAATAGACGCTGATGCACTGATGCAGATTGTTCGATCCTGCCGCCACTGCATAATCTGTCACCTATCTTTTGTGACATTGTCACGTCTAGGAGTAGTGTACATTGAAGAGAATTGAAGAGAAGTTATAAGCGTATAAGAGAATTGAAAAGAAGTGCAAATGATTTGGCTCACTTTATATAAGTTTCCCTAAAAACCTAGGTGCCAGATCATTAGTGCGAGCGGTTCTTCGAGGAAGCTCCCCCCGGCCGCCTTTAGGGCAGCGGGCTTCCTTGAAGAAGCATGAGCTATATATCCTGCGTCCATGTGTAGTAGCTTAAGTAGCTAGTAGCTTACTCTCCCTTACTCAATTAAGGGCGGGCTAAACAAAAAACACAAAAAGTGTGTCATCGTGTTTGGAGTTTTCAGTCGGATGCATTCCAAGGATGGCCTAGGTGGCATCTCTGACATGACGCGCCGGAACTTGGGTCGCTATTGATAGGTCGGCCACAGACTTGCATCTGAAAAGCCAGCCTTTCAGGATTTCAGGAAACAGCTTTTGATGAATTTTTGCTGCAAGATCGCTTATCTTTTCCTGTGGCACTTATATATCTCGCACACAATTTATGCAGGAAGTCTTGACTGATTTCCAGAGTCAAGAGACTCAAAGAGACTTGTAGAGATTTCCCCCGTGAAACAAGCATCGCACAAAATGAGCGACCGCAGAGACTTCCAGCATGTGAAGTGCAAACCCTTCTCCGGAATGCAGATATATGATTATAATATAACTGTCATGATATGTTGTTTTGCAAAGCGTTCTTTTCTTGAATGTCGCAGCATGCGGAGCAGACAATTTGTTATTAGTGCGAATAATTTTCTTAGCTGACGACACCAAAAATTAAGGGGATGTGCTTGCACATGGCAAGCTTTGGAGCCCTAGGCAGCAAGACCGCGTCCAGAACATACTGCGAGAAAGGCTGGTTTTGTAATGTCCGATTTTTTTTTTAAATATAAAGGGGGGGTAGGCCACTAGGTAGGTAGGTAGGTAGGTAGTAGCTGGAGGTAGCTACTACTGACAGGATACAGGATAGCGCTCGCACTATTCTGTTGTTGGCGTTCGCTGCAGGCTTCAAACAGCTTTGCTCGCCAGCCAACAGGCGGAGCCTCGGCAGCAACAGGGCTGCGCAGGATCTCTTTCGTGTTGTTATCCAAGCTGCGAAAGCTATTTGTGGGCTACTATTGACATCGTTTAATTGCAATTATTGCTAGGATCCTTTTTGGAATTTTGCAGCAACTTTTCACATCATAAATGCAGTATGTTATGACGGCACGTGCATGTTTCTGAGCAAAAAACTTGTAGAGTGAAATCATGGAGGAAGAAGCGTTGCTTGCTCCAACTAGCGGGCCACATGCTGCGTTCAAGGCAGGCTTATATAAATGGCTGACAGAGCAGACATATTATATATGTGCTTGCACTTTTTGAGAGGCCTTCCGCACTGTACGGGTAGATGAGAAATCGATTCTTTATAGATGATGGGTGTATATGGGTGTTTGGATTTTTGAATGATGCACAATTGGTGGCTCTCTCTTCTTCGACAAATGGGCGCCTTCGAGACAGGCTGCCTTGCAGCAAGCAGCACTGCAGCTTTTGCACAATGAGAGGCCCCTGCTGGAAGAGGAATTGGAATTACTAGAAGGCAGGGACAGACAGCTGTAGAGTCTACCATCGCAACCGGTGCAAGTGCAACACATGATAAAATGATGACCAAATGATGACCAATCGGCAATAACTTCCTGTACTTGCAAAACACCTCAAGGCTTTTGTTCTGTCAATTGCTGGGCTGTTCGTGCAGGATGAGCTGCTCTGAGATCCAAAGAAGATCGAATTGTTTTTTGCTTGCCCACGTTCAACACAGCGCTTTTAGTAAATACCAAAAGGACGAGCTGCGGGCGAATAATGCTGGTGTGGTTGACGTTTCAAGTAGTAATCATTTCTTTTGCACTTCTGCTGATGTTCAGTCAATTGAAAATCAAGCAGGGCTCATAGAAAGCAGCCGAGGGCAACTTGACCTAGAAGAAACTCAGAGAACAGGGTCGACAGTCGACACTATGGTAATACTGTATTTATCCCTCAACGTGGCACCAAGGCAGCATGATTAAACTGCTTCCATAAAGGTGTCAAAGCTTTGGCGTGACTACATATGCCTGGAAGGTGCCGGCAAGAACGACATGCTGATTGAATTGGCGCATTGCATGAAGTACATTCAGTAGTTTGCTGGGGTGCAGTCAGTCCGTACATACTGGATTTGAGTCAGACTGCCTGTCGTTGGTTGCACAGGAACAGTCATCACCTTCAGCTTCAAGAGCCAGACAAGCCTTGAGTCATTATTCCAACATCAAGACTCATTCAGGTGTTGTTAAACCTTGTTGGACCGAACTACATACGTAGTTCATATTCAAAGATGCAAGGTTGTACAGCAGGGAAGCTGCGAATTGGACAAACTGGACGAAGGCCGTGTTTGGATTTTGAAGTTTATTTTAATTCTAATTCAATTTAATTCTAATTTAATGCATCATAAATTCAGCCGGCAACTGCAGGCTTACTGCTTACTGTGATCTGTATTTGGAAGATTTAGTTCGCTTGTAGTGTTGTACTTGGCAGCACCAGACAGTCTTTGTGGTGAATGATGAGCGGGGCCCGAGGGAAAATTGTGACTTCACGCTACCTCGTGTTTGGACTTACGGTCTTGGAACCAGCTTCATCCCCAGCCCTCGTTGTTCATAAGCTCAGGTTCAATTCGACTCAGTTGCTTGTGTAATATGAGGGGACTTGCCGGGGCTTGTGATTCCTAAAAGAAGATTGAGACAAAATACAACACACACACATATATATATATAACGTCCTCCACGCTCCCTTGAAAGTGTCTTCAGGGGTAAAGTGCACTCTCAATTCAATCAACATGGCATTTGTTCTACTGCATTTGTTTTTGGTGCGTGCTCACGTTCAGTGCCACAACAGCAGGACCACGACCTCATAGGCACAGCCTCCTATGATGGCTACGTGAAGGCCATTGTTGCCGTGGTGTGATTTCAATTTGATTTCTTACTTACCGAGCTTCATTTGCCGAGAATTTAGATGAGTTATCTAAACCGATGTGAGTGAAGCGCAAACATCCACGAAAACGAGAAGACGCCTGCAAGGAGAAGGAATTTGAAATTGTTCATTCCTTTGTATGTCACACTATGTCAAACCTTTGGATTTATATGGGTCTCATAACATGGCATCCACAAAATCACGTTCGCACCATGAAGTCTACACCCAATACTTTTAAACCAACTTGGTTGGGTTACTCAACGTGTACTGGTACTTACTCAGAGTATGTATATCCAAAGATTGCTCTTTTTTGCAATAGCTTATGAGAAAGTGCATCACTTCTTTTGACAAGTTTTGGCAGCCCTATTGGTGGTGGCATGCTGCTGTTTGATATAGGATGACTTTGCAAGTTCTTTCCGAGGTCTTTTGGTGAAGAACTGTGAAGCAGCAAAAAGTGCCATGAGTAACATGGGAGTTGATAAGAACCTGTTTCACCATGTTTCAACAAGGCTTGCTGTGGATTAGTGATTGATTGGTGTCATGTCTTGTGGGCCTTTGACCCATGACAATCTGTCGTCCACGGCTCAGCTTTGGCGGATCTCTACCCACGAGAGTGTGAGAGAGATGCATGCTGGAAAGGCTGGATGGACTTGTTGCAAGTCTCTTTTGGAGTTGAATTTTATGAAACTGTATGGCTACACATGGCTATTCATATGTTTTGGCAATTCTGTGTGTGTGTGAGAGAACAACTTTAGGCTTTAACTTACGTTGGCCGATTGTGGAATACTTGCTTCCGCTCTTTAGTCTTTTGGAACGTCCATTCCTTGGTTTTTGCCACGTGGCCCATGTGTACGCCTTGGCGCACCTTGATTGTGAGATGATCACACCTCAGCCTTAGGTGTCGTTGTGGGGTGTCCAACAAAACAGCGCCTTGCGTTGTGTCATATGAGTACAGTTGATTCAACCTATTTATATAGTTATTTTGATATATACTATACATACAGAAATAGAATCATACTCTCTTGTCTCAGCCAGACTCACCAGAAGTTTGACAAAATACAACACACGAAATTGCGTGGTATATATAACAGGAGCAATTGCTCTATGGCTTGGCCTTTGGACCCGGTGCAGCAAAGGTTTGTTGCGTAGGGGCGCCTAGTGCGACGTGAAAGCCACAGCTTGATTCAGCATCGTGTGATTCCTGCAAGTTTTTACTCAGATATGTCCTTTGCCCTGGAAATTCAGCACACAGTTCCTGGCAGCTGAGCGACAGAAAGCTAAGTGGCCAAGAGCTACTACTAGCTTCTTGCTACTAGTAGCGATGCCCATGTTGCTAGTAGCTGCTTGCTCCTAGTAGTAAGGCCAGGAGCCCTGAATAGCGTCCTTGCTCCTAGTAGTGATGCCAGGAGCCCCTAGTAGCTTCTTGCTCCTAGTGTAAAAAAAGACGAATATGTTTGTCCAAAAGGTCGCTTTATGACATTTCGTCCAGTGCTATGTGGACACAAAATCAGTGGAGACACTGGAGACACACGTACGCAGTGCCACGGAGATAGCAACAAACATTCCACTGAGGTGAGCAGTACTGGCTTGCTTTTAGTCTTCAAAGTTGACACTGGCGAGAATGTGGTTAGGCAGATGATGGGGCTGCAATCTATTATATATATAATGATCCATTTTGGCCATGCTGAGCCTACCAGTAGGAGACAACCTGTGCCTTGTGTGTTCTATTGGGTGGCTGTGGCTTTTCATCGCTCAAGGATAATCATCCTATCTTACAGTATCCTTTTGCAGTTCTTCCGTGTTGATGTGTTCGACATCATTCCAAGTCTACAACTCTTTTGATTTGGGAAAATAGAACTCAAGCAGAATACTTTGCAGCAAGTGGCAAGTCGAAACAACTGAACAAAAGACTGTCAAGTACGCTAGATGGCAGCACTTGATCAAGCAAGACTCCGTGCACTTATCATTTGCGCCATGATCCCAAACAGGGTATATAGTAATACTGGGTTCATGTGTGGAATTCCTTTGCCGAGCTTTGCGGATAATAGTTTGACTCGTAGATTTAGTTGAAGCTGTCAGCCGGGGTGGCTCGGTGAATCATGTTCAATCTTCATGATGTCTTGGGAGAAGACCCTTGTTGCAAGAAACACAGGAGACAAGCATATATCCAGACTACTTGAGGAAACAATGGAGTCATTGATCCAATGATAGCATTCTTGGCCCCGATAGTTTGCCAATGCCTGTTCATGGACTTCTCATTCAATCGTGATTGGAGGCAACAAGTTCACACTGGCCAGGCTGGGCACATTTGAGAAACTATACAACATCAAGACAGACAGAGGATGCTCATTTCAATCGGTCATACGGCATGTCATGTGCTAGTTTATCCTCAAGCATGGATTGTTCACAAGGCCAGGATGTTAGCCAAGACTTATTACGATAGTCTCGTCTCGTACCAGATGCAACCTGCTCTAGGGTTTCAGAGGCTGAGGAAGGACAGTATCTATTTGTTTGCATAGATGGGAGAAGCTTGCCTCATGCTGCATATCAGGCATTCAGATGCGAATGGAGCACTAGAGGCGCTTGTCATTGTCATTCATGCAGAATTTTATTGGCACCGCCAAAACCAGCGATGACCAATGTAGTAAAGCTTGGTCGTTAAACCTGCAAAAGCAATATGCCCCACCACACACCAACTTGCATCCGATCCAATGCGCCTCACAGCCCTTCGGAACTGAGACCCGGGTACTGGAGGTTTGTAAGAAGAGATATAAGAGATTGAAATGTACTTGTAAAGTTGCCAAGAGGTTTTCAATTGGCACCATTAAGCATGTCACACTGAAGATCCCATTTTAGGATCTCAAACAAAAAGAAACCTGCGCTCAAGTGCAGAAACAGAATGAGACAAAGACATCCATGGGAAGTTTACATTACAGTAGTATTATTCCAGGAGGTAAATCTCAACAGGGGCTGGACGCCTCGCGCGCTACAGTGGCCGAAGCGTACACAAAAAGCGGCTGGCACAGGTCGTTTGGCTCAAGTAAAAAAGTAGCCAGTTGACTCAAGGTATATTCCGATGTTGCAACTCCTGTCTATAACTAGTATTGTCCATCAAAAGCTGCACATGGCCAGGATCAAAGTTCTTCATCACAAAATCATGCTGCAGGAGACCCTTGTCACAGAAGTCGTTGAACATAGAAACTGTTGTGATCGTGATCCCTATCTAGCGGCTAGGGACCATGTTTTTGTGGGCTTTAAACCGTGAGTGTAACGTCATGTTAACAAAATGGGGTGATGCAGGGTGGTGGTGGGGTTGAAGACGTTTTTGGAGCACCAATTAGCCTTCCTGGACACGTACGTGGTCTTTTGTGGTCGCGTTGTGTTTTTTCGGTACGAGGTATCAGGGGATGTTTTTGTTGAACATCGAGTCGGGAGAGTTGTTGATTCTCCGGGAATTTGTGTGTACTGTACATATTTAAATTTGCAACCAAAACTGACAATGCAAACGGTGTTTCCCTACTAGAAAGATGACGTGACACAAGTGCTGAATTACCGGAATGATGGTTGCAGACGGTGTTGTGTGTGTGTGTTTCTTTTTTAAAGGCTTCACTTGGTTATATTAAATTACCATCCGTGACATATGCCTTCACTGAAGTTCAAAAGGGGCGCTGCAGTCTGCCAGTGTTTACGATGAGGCCATGTACCCGGCTTGAAAAACAAGACCAAGGGGGTTGGAAAAGATAAGTTTCCCAATGGATAAATGC